CCTGATAAATACTAATTCTTTAAACAGAAAAGGGCATCACATTTTATGTCAAGCTGGGTGCAGTGGCTATAATCCAGTGTCTGTAATCCCAGTGGCTCAGGAGGCTGAGGCAGGAGGCTTCTGAGTTCAAAGCCAGCCTCAGTAATAGCAAGGCACTAAGCAACTCAGTGAGACCCTGTCTCTAAATAAAATACAAAAAAAAAAAAAAAGGCTGCAAATGTGGTTCAGTGGTGAGTGTCCCTGAGTTCAATCTCTGGTACCAAAAAAAAAAAAAAAAAAAAATTATGTCAAACAAACTTGAGTTTGAATAATTCTGCTCCATACAACATTTTTCTTGGAGGATGCTTGCATAGATTAAGTAAGATGATTTGTATACGATACAGCAATTGGCAGAAGTGAAGTGTTCGGTAAACTTCATTATCATTGCCATTACTGTTATTTCTCAGGCCTAAAACTCCCTCTCTTATACCCCCACCTATGGTTACCCCCATGCATAAAGGTAGGAGGAAGAAAAGCAATCCACAAAGGGATAGTAAAATTTCAGTGTAGTTTGTGCTCCCTGTGGTGATAGCATCCCTTTGGCTTTGGGGTCTCCTTCTGCAGGGTTTCTTCTTTACATTCGCCATGACAGAGCTGGGTTCTGGCCAAGACCCCAGCTTTCTCCCTGCAGACCTTCTTACTGTGATCACATCCTAATGCTGTTGTTTCAACCTCTCTTCAATTTGAGCCTGTGTTTGGTGTCCTCTGCAGCCTATGTCTCCCCCCAAACACTCTTCTTTTCCTCTGAGTAGCTAGAATCAAAGTTTTAGAAATCACCTCGTCCAGCCCCTCAAAAATTTTAATTTCAAAATTAAAGCAGTCATTTAAAAAAAAAAAAAATCTTGGGCTGGGGATGTAGCTCAGTGATACAGCACTTGCCTAGCATGTGAGAGGCCCTGGGCTTGATCTCAAGCACTATAAATACATACATAAATAAATAAATATGCATAACTAAATTGAGTAAAGTGGGACTTTTCCCAACCAATCTACACAAATTCATCAGTCATCATGTCAGTATGTACATTGTGCAAAAACATTTGAGTTTTCTCTGCATTGTGGGTCTGTGATGTTACTTATTTCTATTTCATAAGCCTCGACTGCTATCAAGTCTCCCAACTCCGGAGATCCACAATCTAAGTATGGATCACTATTGATTAATGGGAAACAGAACACTGATAGCAATCACAAACTCTCACACCTCTGTCCACACTAACATCCCCCTGAGGCCCACAGGATAAACATAGTAAATATGGTAAATGCAAAAAGAGCTTATAGTAAATATAGTAAATAAGAGAGATGAAAGGAGATTCCAAGGAGACAGCCCTGGTGTTTGTACACACCAAGGGGAGAACAAAGAGAACTGGGAGCCTTGGAGGTGGCAGGCAGGGAAGCAGGCGAGACAGACGATGAAATGAGTCAGAGAGTGAATGAGGGCACTGGGTCGCCTSAACTGTGGCTTAGCTGCCCCCAGAGAGTGGTATGAACTGGAGGAAGGGACTGGGGGGTGATGAGAACTGGAGATAATGCCATAACTCAGAACATGGGGCCAGGAGTGAGTTGAAGATGGGAAGCAAAAGCTTGGCTAATTTCTAGGCGGGACCCTTGCTCCTGAGATCTCTTCTGCTTGGCTCTGCTCCCTGCCTTGGCAGGGTTATGGCAAGGCAGCTGGGATGGCAGGGTAAGGAAAGAGTTAAGCAGACAACAAAGATGTCAGTGCTTGAGATCACTGGACCCCTGCTTGGCAGCCAGAAGCCACCCTGTGGCTGCTAATGCCCTCCATTTATTTGGTGCTTGATCTCATTTAATCTTCAGCACAACCATCTCCACTGCGTTCCCTTAGGAACCCTCAAACTGTTTCCACCATCCCAGAATCATACCATGCTGGACCAGCTGGTGCCTTAGGGGCTGCCACCAGGGAGGCTGGGCCCATTCTGGGCTTGCTCCCTACTGATTTTCCTGGACTGGATGTGACAAGAAGTCACAGGATGTGGAATCATTCTCCTCCTGGAATTTCCCCTTGCTTAGATCTGAAAGCCAGCACATAATGACCATTTCACCCACTCCCCAGGGAGCCATGTCAGCCTTCTCCTCCTCATTAGGCAAATGAAAATCCAAGGCCTAGAGAGGCAGAGTCCTTTGCCCTGAGTCACACCATGAACAAACAAGGAGGAATCTGACTGGAGCAAGTGCAGATTTGGGGGCATCAGAAAACCTGGGTTCCACTACTGGCTTTGGCACTAACAGCCAAGGTCACTGACCAGGCTCCACTTCCACAGCCTTGCTTTTCATAACTGTCAAGTGGAAACAGCAACACCCATCTCTTGTGCTTGTTAGGAGGATTAAATGAGATTAAGATGGCAAAGCGTTATGTAAAAACAAATTACTGATTATCAAGGAACACAGGTAACCTGATGACCTTGGAACAATGGAAAGTTCTGGACCAAGTATGAAAATTCTGGGCTCTGCTCAGTTCACCTGTGTGGCCCTGGGCAAGTTCCAGGCCTCAAGTTTCTCAAGGGTCCCGCCAGCTATAATTTATGGTATTACATGAGCTATATCTCTAGTGAAAGAATTCCAGCACTGGCCACCCTGATAGCATGCTCTCTGTCTCTGTTTCTTTTTTTTTTTTTTTTCCTCTTTCTCTCTGTCTCTCTCTTTCTCCCACTCCCCCTTCCCCTCCATCCCCTCTGTTTACTAAGACAAGGCTGACTTACTAAGACAAGCGATCCTCCTGCCTCAGCCTTTCAAATAGCTGGGACTACAGGTATATGCCATCCTGCCCAGCTACACCCTGATCTCTTAACCGTTCTTTTATTTGTAGCTCACAAACGTTCTTTTATTTGTTGCCTTAGATCCAAGAATTTTATTGAGGGAAGGGAGTCAGTTCTCTGTAATAAGAACCTTTGCTCTATCCCTTCTACCTACTTCCTCAGGCAACTTGAGTGTCTGCACTCTCCTCCCTTCTTAGACTTTGTTCCTCCCATTGCCTCCCAATTTTGATGGGGTAGGAGATTTCTTGGTAGTGTAACAGATAACAAACGGACCAGGGGCTGAGGTTATGGCTCAGCGCTAGAGCACTTGCCTGGCATGTGTGAGGCACTGGGTTCGATTCTCAGCATATAAATACATATAAATATATAAAATACATAAAATAAGGGCTGGGTATATAGCTCAGTTGGTAGAGTGCTTGCCTTGCATGCACAAGACCCTGGGTTCTATCCCCAATACCTAAAATAAAAATAAATAAATGAAATAAAAGGTCTATCAACAACTAGAAAAAAAAAATGGACCAGGTAAGATTTCCCAGTTGAAAACGCCAACCTGCCTAGATTCCCTCCCTGTTATGGAGGACTTGGCTAACTGCCCCAACTTAATATTCTGCTTTTCCCAGGATAGCCCAAAGGGTGCAAAGGCTCTGATCCTTCTTCTGAGGAAGCAGCTCAGCATAACCCTGGCTGAGCTCTCAGAGGTGAATTAAATATTAAACACATAAGGCCAGAGCCCCTGGAGCAGCAGCACATTTCCAGCACACAGACAATGCCTATAGCTTGGCTATCATTCTTCCAGTGGCTGTGGGCTGGCCTTTCCTGCTCCCAGCCCACACTCCTAAGAAGGAAGAAGAAATGGCAATGTTTTGCTCTTCTCAGCAAGCTCAATGTTCCCTGTGTCCTTCCTCCAACCCCCAGTACTGAAAGCTTCAAGGAACTAGAGATGCCTGGAACACTGAGTTGCGGCATCTGCAGCATTGAAATTTAACAGGTTTGTGACTGGCTAGGCAGGGGCCTCATAGCTCAGCCTCACTTAGGAGCTGGAGGCTCCCATGGGAAGGGAATAGCTCAGGAAAGACACTGAGGTCCTGATATCTCTCAGGGCAATGGGAAATTGGAGGCTACTAAGATGAAGCCTGGGTRTGCAGGCCATTTGGTTTTTTTCTTTAGATTAATATAGGTCACAGAATTGTCAGATTGGTAGAACCTCAGAGATCACCAGGCTAATGTTATATTTTACAAAAAAAGAGAAACTGAGGCATGAAGAAAGGGGAAAACAATGTACACAAGGTTATTCAGTGGGCTGGAGAAGAGCTAGGCCTAGACTCTAGGGGTCTGGTATACAGCCTACCACACATCCTGCTTGATTCCCTGAATCTTCTTCTTAATGACACCAAACAAGGGGCCTGGCACTAAATGGATCTAGCACTGCATGGCCTAATAGACAATTTTCACAGGGAACAGAATCCACTCAGTTTCCTGCCTTGACATTGAAGAAATAAAAAGCATAAGGTCCATGGGTTCCAGCTTAGTTTTGCCACTTTGTTGGATAAACCTTGGTCCTTTCACTTCTCTGAGCCTGAGTTCCTCAACTAGAAAATGGAGATTTAAAGGTTAGGGGTGTAGCTCAATAGTAGAGCATTTGTCTAGCATGTGCAAGGCCCTAGGTTTGGTCCTCAGCACCATTAAAAAAAAAAAAAAAAAAGGGAGGAGGGCTGGCTAGTGTTAAGGATCAAGTAAGATCATGTGTGAGGCATTTTGTAAATTGTGAATTACTATCTGAATGGTAGAGATAATATTTTGTGAGAGGTCTGAAGTTGCTGCACAGGGAAGAAGCATGGTATGGGAGAGGCTGTGCAGGAGCAAAAAACCACACTCCCATGGGGTGGGGCCCTGTCTGGCCATCCATAGACCTGACTGATCCTGGAGCCACCAGAAGAGACTGACACTCRCAGGTCAAACTGCCCCAAGTTCACTGTCTTGACAACCCCAGCCACTTTGCTTCGTGTGCATGCATGTGCCCAACTGTCAGTTGCAGCAATTTGCCTGGCTGCTCCAGGGGCAGTGGGTGGGGCATGGTGCTGAGGAAGGATACCCCACTTTGGGCCATCTCACAGACCCTCAGGGAAGAGCTGGGCAGCGAAGACCCTTGCAGGGACTTTTCTCATGCTGGGGCTCCTCTGGGGCCCTTACCTTGTACTTGGCTGCAAGCAGCTCTGTGGCCTGCTGCTCCCGCCGCAGGTCCTCCAGCATCTTCTCCTTCTCCTCCAGCAGCTTCTGCTTCTCCTCACTCACCAGGCTGCGGTCATCCTGAATGGCCGCCTTCTCTTCCTCCAGCCGTTCCTTCTGTTCCTGAAGGTAATTCTCCATGTTCTTCTCCAAGGCTGACTCCAGGATGGGCTGGGGCGGGCGGTGGTTGTTGTTGTTGTCATCCTCCTCTTCAGCCACCCAGGCCTCAATCACTGGCCCTTCAGGGTACCCAGCTGGGGCTGACACAGCCTTCTTCCTGCGGCTACTCTTCCTCCGGGGCCTCTTCCCCAGCATCCCCCTCTTCTCCAGCTGGGCCTTCAGGCGGGCAATTTCCTCCTGGAATTCCCGCAGCAGCGTATCCTTGGGATCTTCATTCACCCGTGGCTTGTTCTTGATGTTCTTGGCTCGATTGGCAAAGCGTAGGGTGGAGAGGCTCTCATCATAGCTGTGAGAAGCTGGCCCCAGTGTGGCCACCATGATGGTCTTGGCATTCCCGCCCAGAGAGTCCTGGAGCAGCCGGGTCAGCTTAGAGTCCCGGTAGGGGATATGGGTGCTCCTGTTACCCGCCAGAGCAGCAATCACGTTACCCAGGGCAGACAGAGAGAGGTTGATTTTGGAGGCTTCCTTAGGTCTCTCTCCACTGCTGCCACYACTACCTCCATTGCCACCGCCACCACCACCCGTGGACTGTGTGGCTGTCCCTCCAGCTGTGTTAGGGCCTGCCTTGTTCTGCCTCTCACTGCCAGCCAGGTCCACCAGGTTGAGCTTCCCCACACGGATGTGGTCCTGGCCATCAGAGCCACGCTCACTGCACTCCACAGTGATCACGAAGATTGCGTGGGAGCGGGAGCTGACCTCATTCATGTGGGTGCTGCCCACTGCACGAGTCTGGTTCCCCAGGTTCATCACATGTTCGATCTCTTTGACATTCTTGGTGACAAAGGAAGAAAGGTCCTTGATGTAGACCCCTGTCTCAGGATTTTCCTTCAGCTCTAGCCTCTTGCCTGGCTCCTTGGAGAGAAGGTCTCGAATCTCCTCCTGGTAGATCTCTAAGTAAGAGGCTCGGACTAGGTACTGCTGGTTCTGGGAGCGGGAGATGTGGGTGAAGATGTGTTCAAAGGCGTTGGGGATGACCCCGCGCAGCTCAGGCTCCACCCAGGTTCCCTGCATCGTGTAGGTCTTGCCAGTGCCCGTCTGGCCATAGGCAAACACTGTGCCATTGAAACCCTGAAGCACTGAGTCTATCAGGGGCCTCACGGTTTCATCATACAGGTCTGCCTGCTTGGAGCTGGCATCGTACACGGCGTCAAAAGTGAAGGTCTTGGGCAGCTCTCCAGGGGCTGCACGGGGGTTCCGCAGGGTCACCTGGCCCAGTTTCACGTCCATGGTCAGGATCTGCTCATGACCAGCTGCCTCCTCCTTCCTGCTGAGGGGGCGGCACCGGGCCACCACCTTCAGGGCCTCACTGGTCTTGGTCTTACTGGCCATCTTGCTGCTCTGTCCTTTCCTCTGCTCCCCTCGGCAGCCTGGGCGGTCCTGCTGTCCTGTTCCTTAGGTCGGGATCGGCGGGGCCGGCCCAGCCCCCAGGCGCCGCTCTTCAATCCGCATGCAGCCTCCTAGGGTGGGGATGCTGGGAAGTGGCCCCGCCGCTGCTGCAGTCCGGGCCTCCACTGCTTTCAGATCCTCGGTGCACCGGCCGGGGAGGTAGAATTAGGCAGAATCTCCAGGCAACAGCGGGAGCAGCGCCTGCCGAAGGGCAGTGCCGGGAGCCCGCCCCATGCTGGGGCAGAGGGAGCGCTGCTGTAAACAGCTCCGGCAACAATGAGATAAAGGAAGAGGAAAATGGGATGGGGGTGGGCGGCAGGGCTGTCTTCGCCTCCTCCTCCTCCTCCCTCTAGGGATCCATGGCGGGGGCTGCCGTGCAGGGCGGCCGGGGGTCCCGGCCCTCCCGAGGGCAGAGGCTCACCTGGAGTCCTGCCCCCCAGCTGGGGGATCATTCATTGCAGCCAGCGCGGCTGCTGCTGCCTCTGCCTCCGCCTTCCCCACCGCCGCCACCGGAGAATGAGAGAAAAACAGAAGGGGATGGGGCGGAGCAGCGGCGGCGAGAGTGATGTTGCCGCCGCCGCGCTGCGGCCCCAGCTAAGTCTCCCGGCTGGGGTGGGGCAAGGGGCGGGGCCGCGGGGCGGGGGCCGCAAGCTGGGCGCGGCCCGTAGGCAGGGGATCCGGGTGCATTGCCGCCTGCAACCCGACGACCCCTCCCGGATGACAGGCTCGGGTGCCGAGCCAGGTCCTGAGCCCACCAGTCGGATGCAGCGCAGCCACCGCCCGCCGTCACCCCACCGAGCTGGAGCATGCTGGGAGATGTAGTCCTGCCTTTGTTAACCGGGTTCTGGCAGGTTGCTAATGTCTTCTCCAGTCCTCCAGTCTCGGAGCCCCTCCCTTTCCCGCGTGAAACCCACGAGTGACTGCTGAGGTTGCACCATCCACGCTTGTTCCCTCCACAGGCACCTTCCTGCGTCTCCCGCTGCTCCTGGCTTTCTGTCCGCAGATGGGTACATGTCACCAGTTTCCCTTCAGGGTGTCGCCAGGCCTCGAGGCGCCTAACTCCTAAATGTTTCTGGAAGTTATCCTTTCCGCTCCCTAACCTGGTTTACTTCTGGCCTTCCTTTTATCTCTGCTGAAACCAATGATTCCTCACCTCTTGTCCACGAAGGCACCCTAGCTCCTTCTGCAACTCCTCCAACGCTTTCCACATGCTACAAGAGCCTATCCCTCTTCTGACCTCCCAGCCTCACCTCCACTACTCTCCTATGGAGTATCTGCCTCCAAACATTTTATCTAGCACTTGCTGAGCACCGGCCCATTGGAAGAGCTGCGTTATTCTCATCCTCAAGGAGCACAGATTCTAGGAACCATGTTTTGTTTCCTTAACTGGCTCTTTGTTGCACCCTTGTACCTTTGCCCAGAGATCCAATCACTCTTCTGCACGTGGTTCCGTGCCACTTGGGTAGAAGGAGTACTTCCTCCTTCATGAAGCCTTCCCTAACCAGTTCCCCCCCTCCCCTGAAAGAGAGAATTTGCATAAAGCAAAACCTGATTCCAGTTCCAATCTGATCTCCACCCAACAGTGTGCCTTTGAGCAATTACTTACTTTGCTCAAAGTTTCCTGAGTTGCCTTCCTCATCTGCTCAAAAGAATTGGAGATGGATGGAGAGAAATAATCTGTATCACAGAGTGGTTGGAATACTCAAATGAAACAATGGATCATGAGGTATCTTACCAATGAGAAACCCTTAATATGGGAACATGGCCTGGCTTCAATTGTCTGACAGTATCTTCTTCCTTGAATCTCCTAGATAGACCAAGTGGGTGCTTGGTGTTCCTCTTTGAGGTCTTCATATTTTATGCCTCTAGAATACAAAAGAAGTGTAATTAGTGTAGTTTCACAAGTCCACAGATCAATGTTCCACTCTGCAAGGGGAGGTGAATCATGGACTGAGCTGTCCTTATTTTTCTCCTCATGAAATTCAGATGAAGGATAGGCTATTACCTGAAACTTCAAAGTCCTTCCATTTGCAATAATGATATTTTGTAGATGCCAAATTGTTGAGTTCTTCAAATCTGAAGAACTTAACTCCTCACTTCTTCCCCATTTCAAAGTCTCTAGGACTTGAATGTCAACTAGGAGAGAGGCTTGGTTTGCACACTTCTGAAGTTTCTGGGCCTTCCTCTCCCTTCTCATGATTAAGCTCCACTGCTTGTGATGATCTTGGCTTTGGGGTCAATTACTGGGTGAGATTTTGACCTTATAGACTAACATCTCTTGGCTCAAGCAACAGACTTTTGGATGCACCATTTGTTTCTTAAGCTATATTCTTGTTTAACTTGGCTTTGGTTTTTGAACACCCTTTCTCTATTTTGGCTAACACATCTGCCACTACAGTGCTGGATAAATGGATCTTTACCCTGTTCTCACCACCTGATGTTACCACCTGGCAAGGCACCAACCCAGATCCTTCTGTATGGAAGATTGAAATGCCTTTGCTTACAAGATGTGTGACCCCCCAGGAAATTATTTAACTTCTCTGAACAATTATTTTCTCAGTGGGATAAGTAAAGATAAGAATGCTTACCTTACTCACAGGGCTTACATAAAATTAAGTCAGATAACATATGTAAAAACTCAAAGGCTATAAAAAGAACTCAAGAAATCATAGTTTTCTTTCCTTTTGTCCTTTGCATTCAAAGCTGTTCATGTTATGTGTTTCCCTTTTAGTATTAGTTTCAACCATTCTTCCTCCCTTTTATATTCTTGAGTAACTAGCCACTCTGATTTGCGTGAGGTCCCCTAAACATGCCATGGTTTGGGTTTTTTTTTTTTTTTGGTTGTTTTTTTTTTTGGGGGGGGGGGTGGATAAAATGGATCCTCACCCTGTTCTCACCACCTGATGTTACCACCTGGCAAGGCACCAGCCCATATCCTTCTGTAAGGAAGACTGAAACCAGTCCAGACTTCCCTTCTGAGTTCCAGACCTATATACCCAATTCTCTAATGGATATAGCCACTTGGATGGTTCTCCAAGAGCCTGAAATTCTATTGTTCACATTGAACTCATCATTTTCCCCTCTAAACTAGCTCCTCTAAATATGGTTGTTAGCCCTATAAACAGCACTTCCCTCACCCCTAATATATCCATTCAAACCCCAAATACKGTCAACTCAACTTCCAAATCCATCGACTTCTTCTTCAACTTCCATAGCCATTCCTATCATTTTCTCTGGTCTGGTCTCCCACAATATCTTCCAATCTGGTCTCCCTTGATCCCCACTCATCTATTCTCTACAAATTAATCTTTTACAGACATATGTCTGATCATGTCACTCTAAGTGGAAAACCTTCCAAAGCTTTTCATTGCTTTTTTTTTTTTTTTTTTTTTTTTTGGTATTGGGAATTGAACTCAGGGGTGCCACATCCCTAGCACTTTATTTATTTATTTATTTTTATTTGTAGACGGACACAATATCTTTATTTATTTATTTTTATATGGTGCTGAGGATCGAATCCAGTGCCTCACACGTACCAGGCAAGCGCTCAACCACTGAGCTATAGCCCCAGCTCTCCTAGCCCTTTATTTTGAGGCAGGGTATAGCTAATTGCTTATGGCCTCACTCAGTTGCTGAAACTGGTCTTGAACTTTCCATCCTCTTGCTTCAGTCTCCTGAGTAACTGGGATTACAAGCATGAACCACCATGCCTGTCCTCATAGCTCTTGAGGTAAGGTCCAAATCATTAATGCAGCCCACAGGGCCACCTACTTACTGCCTCAGGGCTTTCATATACTCTGTTTCTGCTACTGGGATACTTATCTTCACCATCTGTATCCAAATTCCTCCTCTTCGTGCTTCAGGTCTCCACCTGAATATCACTTTCTAAAGGAATTCTTATTCTCATCCTTCCCTGTTCTTTCCTTCGAAGAACTAAGCATAATTATCATTAATTACTTGTCCACCTTCCTGTTGCTCAATGAAAACAATAAAGACGTAGCATGTCTGTTTTGTTTTTTGGTACCAGGCATTGAACCAGAGCACTTAACCACTGAGCCACATCCCCACCCCCTTTTTTTATATTTTATTTAGATATAGGATCTCGCTAATTTTGTTCAGAGCTTGGCTAAATTGCTGAGAATAGCTTTGAACTTGCAATCCTCCTGCCCCAGCCTCCCAAGTTTCTGGGATTACAGATGGGCACCACCACACCTGGCTCAATGAGTATTTTTTTTTTTTAAAGTTGTAGATGGACACAAAATCTTTATTTTAATTATTTATTTTTTATGTGGTGCTGAGGATTGAACCCAGTGCCTCACATATGCTAGGCAAACTCTCTGCAATGAACCACAACCCCAGTCCTCAATGAGTATTTTTAAAATAAATTAAAGCCTTGTATGACCATCACTCTTCTGAGAGATTCCTTTGACACTCCTGACTTTACCATCAGAATTAATCTTTCCTCCCCTTATGATTCTATAGCTTTGCCTTTTTTTCCAGTGCTAGAGACCAAACCCAGGTCTTCTAACTAGTATTACAGTCACTATAGTTAGACCTATACTGTGGTTAACTGATTCTGTCTCCATCACCATAATGTACACCCCCTGCAGACAGGGGCTGTGGATTTTGTATTTGTATCTTCTTTCCCCATACCCAACATGTAGTTACACACTGTTCATGATTGTATATACTTTAGGTAATCAATATTGGGTATTAAACAAGTGAACGGATGGTCAAAGAAATTTGGAGCAAGAAAATGATGAAATGAGACCAAACAGTGACAATAATAGGCCCTTATGTGTGCAGAATGATCTGTGGTTCATAAAGTATCATTGTTTTTATTATCTACTTGGCCCTCATATCAATCTCCAAAAAAGGGAAAATATGAATATTTCTTCAGATTGATGAAGTGACTAGGGAAGAAAACCCAGCTATTAGGACTCCAACTTGGTAGTCTTTCTATGGGGTAAACTCACTGAGGGGGCAAGTTGCAGTTCAATTGCTTCTTAGTCCTGGTTTGACTGATAGCTTCATGGGGCACAGGCCCATCCTTGACTTAGTGGGAGGAGGAAGAACCTTTGCTTCATTTTCTTTGATAACAAATTTCTTTTTCCTCCAATGGGATTCCCATACCAGCATCTCTTGGTCCCTGTGACAGCCAGAGTATGACTATACAATTCTACCAGGAAGACAGAACTCACTCTTTAATAATCCTGGGGCCCACAAATTGATGTTCAAATGCAATTAATAATTTAGGATTTGGGTTTACCCTGCAAAACTAAGTGATGCCAGCAGAGGGAGATATGACCATGTGACAAAATTACTGGATGAACTCTACACTGTCAATTGCTAAGAGGTTATCTAATAATAGATTTTCCAATGTGTCCAAGACTATATTTTAAAATTATGTGTGTATGTATGTATGTATATATGTGGTGCTAGGGATTTTTGTTTTGTTTTGGTTGCTTGTCTGTACTGAGAGTTAAACCTGGT